TTTGTTTATGGTCTCGACGAGTTAGAGGCCCAAACTCGTCGAATAGAGTGGGAATGGGACGCGGGACTTAAGTTATCTACTCGAAGAGTCAGAAGCCTCGACTTGACCAGTAGAGCTGCCATGGTGAAACCATAATTTTAAGGGTTTTCACCCTATTTAAACACCTTAACTGGCTTCCTTTACAGCCTCCATCACCCTCAAACCATCCTCATGAAACCCTAATCGATTTTGAGTGTTCTTAAGCTCTTTATGCCATTTTGTGTGTGTTTGAATATTAGGAAGAAAGAAGAGGTTTGGGAAATCGAGAGAAGGCAAGTAAATCCAAAAGCTTTGGCACATTTCCAGCTTGTTTAAGGTAAAAAATTTATACCTTGATCATTTATCTCTTAGATATCTAGTTAGGGCAAGTTTCTACCTTTTCTAAGCTTTAGTAGAGCCATCTTCGGGATGTTGTGGTTCTAAGGGGGTATAAATTCAGATCTTGAACCATTGAGGGTTCCCATGACATAAAGGTGCCAACTTTATGGCCATAGGAGTCCCATGCACCTTGTGGACCTCATTTTTTTTGGGTCTTTTGAGCTTGAAGATCCATGCATGGATGTCAAGTTTGTAACTTTACGTGTAATATGGACCCTAGGAGGTTAGATCTATGTTCTAGATGCATTAAGGCTGACTGAAATTAATTGAATAGTTATGGACATGGAGGGAATCGACGAGTTTCTCATACGACTTGGCGAGTCGGGTAATAATTTCCCCGAAACCTTTTCTGATAATGAGAAATGTGTTGAGTTGGAAGAAGACTCAACCAGTTGGGTTCATTCATGGACCTGAAGATCATGGGACTCGGCGAGTTCAAGAACAAACTCGGAAAGTTCAAGACTAAGTCTCAGGTGCATGAAGAAGAACTCGATGAGTTCATGGAGAACTTGGCGAGTCCAAGGCTAGACGTGCCAACTTACATGAAGCAGGACTCAACGAGTTCAAGGATGAACTCGACGAGTTACTTGTAGAAGGTCCCGATTCTAAATGAAGGGGAACTCGGCAAGTTCTTGAAAGACTCGACGAGTAGGATTGAGACTGGTAACATTTTGTGGATTATGGAACTCGACGTGTTGGTGGATCAACTTGGCGAGTTGGGACAATCAGATGTTGTCTTTGACCAAGGTGTTGAACTTGAATTTGACTTTTACCTGAGTTAACCATGAAAGGGAAATTAAGGAAGGTTGTTATGTGTAGGAACTCGAGGGAATTTATTACATCATTGAGGATGGTTTGGTTACAACACGACTTTGAGGTGAGTTACCTTCCAGTAGAAGTGGATCGAAGGTGCCAATGTCGACCCACTAGTAGTTGATTATAGTTGAGACGATTGTCTTTGTGATAAGTGTTTGGTTTGCCACTATGTTCTATGATTCCATGCTAGTATGATATGACATTATGTGATAGTGGAAGTAGGGGGAATAGTCCCCATATCCAATCGTTAGGGACAAAGGGTAGGTTGGGCACCCCGGAATGCCTGAGAGTATGATTATGCTATGCTTTTATGTGGTAGTAATAGAGGTGAAATACTCCCCGTAACCAGTTGAGATAAACCGGAGGGGTAGGTCAGACACCCTGGTATGTCTGACAGGGGTAGGTTAGGCACTCCGGTATGCCTAGCAGGGGTAGGTTGAGCACCCCGATATGCTCAACAGGGTAGGTTGGGCACCCAGATATGCCTGACAATATGTGTTATGTATGGTATGTGGTATGATGGGGGAACTCACTAAGCTTCATGCTTACAGTTTTCAGTTTTGTTTCAGTTACCTCTTCAACGAAGGCGAAGGAGCTGGCTTGGTAGCTACGCATCACACACACATGATTTCCGCACTATGTCATTCTTAGGATTGTACTCTGATATTTTTACTATTTTTATGATCTGGTTTTGAGACATGTAATTGTGGTTTGATGAAATGATATGGCTTGATGACGTTTGCTTATAAATGTTTTCTAAATCGTTGTATCAAAAATGAAATTTTTGGTCTTGAAAATTGGGATGTTACACTAGATCACGACGTGGTGATAAGCTTGCCACGACATGGTGAATGCCTTGTCACTAGGACATGGTGTTTATTGTGATCACAGTGTGGCGTCGCCATGAGTTAAAAACCTTATAGATTGGATCTTGAGTGTTATTTAATGAATGTTGGGGTTAGGGTTTTCTCCCAAGCCTAGCCTCTATCTCTTCAAACATTTCATTAAAACCCTAGCCATTTTTCTGGAACTTTATAAGTGCACAAGTTCTCAACTGTATGGTTTTAAATTCATGGATCTAGCATTTTGAGTCATTCTTGTGCATTTTGGTTGGAGTTCATGGAAGAAGTCCAGCTAAAGGTTGCAACTTTACCAATCTAAAGTGTCCCGTGAGTGTTTTATCTTATAGATCTTGAAGTAAGGAGTGATTTGGGATCATGCAAGGATTAAAGGTGTCATTTTCACTATGTTGACCTAGAATGGTGTAAGACATGCATGAGGTGTGCATGTCCATAAAGTTATGATTTTTATGACTCTTTTAAGTGCTACGAAGCCTTCTAGAAAGTATGAGTGGTTGGATTAATGGATTAAGGGCTTAATCCCTTAAGTTGTTTTAGGATAGTTTCCATGGGGGAGAGGATGGCTTGGCACGACGTGGGGGCAGGTTTCATCCGCTAGTGTTTTATCGGGTGGTTGCCACATCGTAGTCATTGGTTGGCGACGATGCGGTGGTTGACTGCTGACTTAGACCGTTGACTTTTTGACTATTTTGACTTTTTGGTCAAACTTGGAGAGGTTTTGAGTTATAGTCTATGATTGGTTTAGGAGGTTCCTATAGTTGATTTTATAGGATTCGAGTAGTGGATTACATCCCTTTGATTAGATGAGTTTTCTAATATACTTAATACTTTGTAGGGTGCTAGTTATCTTTGTGACTCTTACATGAAAGACCATGGGGGACCATGTCAATTGTATGAAAGACCATGTGAGAACCATGACAATTGTATGAAAGACCATGGTGGAACCATGGTTGGAAAGACTGTAGCAGAGATGTAGCAACATAAGTGATTGTAAGACTATGGTGAAACGAGGGGTTGGGGGGGAGAGGACCATAATGTTTAGGATGAGGTCTAACATTCAAGGCGGGGCCCATTATATTATATGATATGTAGTATTTTTGGGAACTTGGTAAACTTTGTGCTTATGGTTTGAGTCTAAATGTTTCATATAGTTTCGGTAGCATAGGAAAGAAGCCAGCTTGGTTGCGTTGCATCTACCGATGATTTCCACATTATGCCATTTTTGGATTACTATGATGTTTTTATGAAAACAATATATTCATGTTTTGGATCATTTGATCTGTGATGGTTATGATTGATTTTTTTACTTTAAATTTTTTAAAAACATGCCTAATATTTTGAGATTGTTACACCACATTTATTTATGTAAGTTTATCTGATAACAATAATATTAACAATTAACTAGAAAAGATTCCCCGGCATTGCCAGGGTCGGAATGTATTGCTTTGTAAAGTAAAGTAGCATATTGAATTGTATTGAGATAATCTAGTACAGGAAGATAAACAATATAATCTAATTACATAAGTAAAGAAATCTAAATCATTATTTCTTGCAATAAATGAGGAAAATAAAGAAATGGTCTCACAAATTGAACTTTATTGCCATGTATGGCAACGGCCAGAAAACCAATCCGAAAAATATAGACCGTTGTTTTTTGTCCGTTATTGTAAGGGTAATTTGGTCTTTTAAGTTAGTAGGGTAAACCATATGGACCGTTAATGTGAAAATAAAGAAATGGTCTCACAAATTGAACTTTATTGCCATGTATGATGACGGGTAAACCATATGGACCATTTATGTAACTTTGGCAGTGGTGGTCATGGCAGCTGGTTGGTGACTTTATGGTATTGGGTGTGTATTTTATAATAAATAAAACATTAAATTAAAACAAAAAAGAGAAATATAAATTAATAAAAAATCGGATTAGGAGTAAAAGAGTGATTTCGGTTTCCATCGTTGTCATTAATATGTTAAATCTGGTAAACCACATGGACCAATCGTGTAATTTTGTCTAACAATAATGATAATAATAATAATAATAATAATAATAATAATAATAATTGTAATTATAATAATAATAAGGGACCATTTCTGCCAAAAGACTAAATACTAATAATATATAATAAAAGGTGAGGGTTATGAAAAATTCAAATAAAAGTAAAAGGGTTGTTTGTGAACAAAAGCATAAATGTAAAGGGTTAATGTTGTAAGTAATTTTATAAACATAAGTTGAGCAGACAAAAAAAGATGAGATGATTAATGTTGCCAAACATTTAGGAAGTTTTCTATTCCTCTTTCATATCTTTAATATATATATATATATATATATATATATATATATATATATATATATATATATATATATATATATATATATATCAAATAATAATAATAATTAATAACAATAAAAAAAATGAAAATAAAAATTGTTTTCGGTTTTGACTTAGACCGTTGACTTTTTGACTATTTTGACTTTTTGGTCAAACTTGGAGATGTTTTGAGCAATGTTTTAAAACCCGGGTCGATCCGGCCGGTTCAACTGGTTGGACCGTGACCCGGGATAGAAGGCGGGTCAATTGAGACCGTTTTTTTGTAAAAATACAAACCGGATCGAACCGGCCGGGTTTTCCTTAAACCGCGGTCTAACATCCAAAGCGGGGCCTATTATATTATATGGTATGTAGTATTTTTAAGAACTCACTACACATTATGTTTAGGGTTTGAGTTTAAATGTTTCTTTCAGTAGCATAGGAAATAAGCCAGGGTTGCGTTTGCGTTGCATCTACTGATGACTTCCACATTATGCCATTTTTGGATTACTATAATGTTTTTATGAAAACAATATACTCATGTTTTGGATCATTTGATTTGTGATGTTTATGATTGATTTTTTTACTTCAAATTTTTTAAAAATATGCCTAATATTTTGAGATTGTTACACAACATTCATTTATGTAAGTTTATCTGATAACAATAATATTAATAATTAATAATCAAATAATAATAATAATTAATAACAATTAAAAAAATAAAAATAAAAATTGTTTTCCGTTTTTGACGTTAGTTGAAAAAAATAATTTCCTTATCTAACGAGTATTTCTAAAGATTTGGGCAAGTCAAAGGTATTTCTGCCACAGCCATTGTTGCTACCTTCTTCACAGGAACAATCAAACAAGCGTTTCCGCTGTTTCTGCTCCAAATTTACAGTTTTCAGAGAACATGAAGATCACCGCGTTGCTTGTTCTCAAATGCAATCCCGACGGATCGTCGGATCCGGTGATCCTAGCAAATGCCACGGACGTCAGCCATTTCGGTTACTTCCAGAGGTCTAGCGTCAAGGAATTCATAGTCTTTGTTGGTCGTACAGTCGCTAAACGTACGCCTCCATCGCAACGTCAGTCCGTTCAACACGAAGGTAGCTTTTTCGTTCTTCCCTTTCTTCAACTTTACTTTCTGTTTTTTAAGTTTACTTGTTCGATTGCCATACGAGCTCTGTGAATATATTAGTCGAATCGGATCTGCTTTCCCTCTAACGGCCTGAAATCTAAGAAACAATTGAGTTGAATTCCCTTTATTTGTTTGATTAAGACGAATCAGTTTTAAGAAATTTAGTTTACTTTTAGGAAATTTCGAATCAATCCATTCAACATAAGTCGGTTTTCCCTTGTTCGTCTTCAATTTTGGTTTATTTCGCAATTTGTTTGTATGATTACAAATGGAATCGGATCTGCGTTTCTCTAATAGAACTTGATACAGAATCAATTTAATCAAGATTCAAGAGTCCACCATTTTGGAAGAAGCTTTGAAACCTAAAAATCAGAAGAACCCTAATCTTTCCCAGGAGACATTTCTCTTCTTAATTGCTAGATGTGAACTCTCAATCATAATTTCTATACATATACGTATTACCTCAATAATTAAATTCATATTTATTTTGTTAATCAGAATACAAGGTGCATTCCTACAATAGAAATGGTCTTTGTGCTTTGGGGTTTATGGATGATCACTATCCAGTTCGAAGTGCATTTTCTCTTTTAAACCAAGTAAGCCTATTAATCTTATACAACCTTCATGTTATTTTATTATATTAATTCATTTTAAATGATGAAATTACTAATTATTAAGTTTTATGTGTTGTTTAGGTTTTAGATGAATACCAAAAGAATTTTGGTGACTCATGGAAATCTGTACAAACAGATCAAAGTCAACCATGGCCTTATTTAGATGAAGCTTTGACAAGATTTCAGGTTTTTTAATTTAATTCCACAAGTGATTTTGAAAAATAAACTGAAGTAATTTTGTTTTGTTTTGTTTTTTTTTTTTTTTTTTCCTTTGCTTACTTTTTAATTTTTCAGGATCCTGCTCAAGCAGATAAGCTGCTGAAAATTCAGAGGGAATTGGATGAAACAAAAATTATACTTGTAAGTGTGTTGACTTTTGTTGACCCAATTGCCAATTTCTATCTTATACATCTCTAATGGAGTTTTTTTTTTTTTTTTTTTTTTTTTTTTTGTCCATAAGTTATTATTATTAATAATGTAGAATTAGTCTTTTTGAAAGAGAACTTTTTTTTTTTTTTTTTTTGTGATTTTTATCAACCACATATAGTTTTATAAGTGGTTATTTTGGTTTTGTGATTTTTTCCTTTAACCCACTGTATTAAATAATATTACAGTTTACTCCCCTAATTATGTTTAGATTTTAAATCTTTATTATTTTTTCCACTAATTAATCTGTTTTATTAACAACCAATATACTCTCCATATAAAATATTAAATTGATAGCGATTATATTATTTTATTTTAATAAATATCACTGTGTTTAAAAAACAAGTTAAATAAGGGAACTATAAAAAATTTAGATAGATTATGATAAATTAGTTAATTAAAAAAAAAAAAAAAAACTTTTGAAAAGGTTGATGTATTGGAGTAGGTTTTTTATAAACTTATAATATGTTTTTTGTTAAATAAAAGGTTATTGTAAAGCAGATGTGGCAAAAAAAAAAAAAAAAAACTTTTAAGAGGTTAACCATTGTGGATGTTCTTATAGCATTATAGTTTTTATTTAATAGTCTTGTGGAAAAGACGTAAATACCCTCTAATTTCTCATCATAAAAAATAACCCTAGAAAGCCTGTCGATTCTCCTCATATCCCTTTTTAACAAATGTAGCCTAAAACATCACAAGTAATATAGGATATATATATATATATATATATATATATATATATATATATATATATATATATATATATATATATTCGCTATGATATATTTTAAATTTTAATAAAATTTATTTTGATGCTAAAAATATGGTTTTTAATTTTATTACAGCACAAGACTATCGATAGTGTCCTTGAAAGAGGTGAAAAGTTAGACAGTTTGGTGGAGAAAAGCTCAGACCTCAGTACAGCTTCACAGGTGTCAATTATTCTTCTTTCAATAATTTATAATTGTGTTTTTCATTTTTTTTTTTTTTTTCTATTTAAACATTGTACTTTACAAAATCCACTTAATAATTATAATTGTTATAATGAAGAGTAAATTACAAGAATGGTCCCTATGGTTTGGGGTAATTTGCGTGCTTGGTCCCTAACTAATTTTTTTAACTCGGAAGATAGTCTTTTTAGGTGAGGGAGTGGGATTGGGTGTGTGTTTATTTAACTAAATCAAAAAATCAAGAGCAAAATAGTTTTTTTAGGTAGGACAGGGACCAAGCGTGTAACAAAAACAAACAGTAGGGACCTTCTGTGTTAAAAAAGTAAGTTAGGGACCAAACACGCAAATTACCCTAAACCATAGGGACTATTTGTGTAATTTACTCTATTTTGAATATGTCATTGAAAGTACGTTGCTATTTCTTGCATTTAACCCTACTTTATATGATCAACAGATGTTCTACAAACAGGCGAAGAAAACAAACCAATGTTGTACAATATTGTAGGGAAGAAAGGCGGATTTGGTTGTGTTGAATTGTTTTGCATTTACGTATTTTTCTATTTGGTTGCTTGTTGGATTGAATAGGGCGTTACACTTTCCACTCTTGGGATATATATTTTGTAATATATGTTGGATTTATATGTGATTGTATTATTGTATAAAAGTAAAAGAAAACCTGATAAATTTATTAAAAATGTCACCGAAGGTATGAAAGGTTTTATTAAATCTAAGGTAAGGTAAATTTATAAAAGAAAAGATGTGATATTGTACAACTATATAATGCATAAATTGTTGTATATGATAAAAAACTGTTGTGTACGAATCACTTCTTTAAATAATATGGGATGATGTTATTTATTGCCAACTAATTATTTTTAACATATCTAGAATACCATTTTATATATTTTTAATATATTTCGAGAGGTAAGCGAGTATAAAACTTGTTACAAATTGATTATTATGACTTGGTATAGCAAATTTACGTAGTTACCCTACTTCATTTTCTTTTAATATTATGACTTAATTTTTAATTTTTTTTTAATGAATTTGATTCTAATTTTTTTTTTGTTTTTTTGTTTTTTTTTTTGCAAAATTGCTCTAACTATCAAGTTTTATGAGAGTTATTCTTTACAAATTAGTTTTTCTTATAAATTAAAAAAAAAATTAAAAATGAAATTTGAAAAATGAATTTACCGAAGAAGAAGTTTAGAAAAAAATATGTATCAGCAACGGTTTAAAAAAAAAAAATAAATAAATAAATAAGATGGAGAATTTGTAAAAGACTAAAGTACTAAATTCGTATAAAGGAGTAAAACGTTGTCCAAGATTGTATAATAGAAAATGGATATCTAAAAAATAAAATGTCAAATACATCAATTTGGATCAACTTTCATATTCAGTTACCTCTCGTGATAGTAAAGTCTGTAACATGATATTTTGGTCAACCTCATAAATGTCATGTGGTTTACGCCCTTAAGTTTAAAAATCCAAATACATATTTCTTTAATTTCAAAAAAAAACTTTTAACAAATAGTCTTCTCATCCATATAAAAAACTTATTTATATTTTTAATATATTTTTGTTTTTTATTTAAATCTATTTTAAAACAAAAAAGAAAAAGAAAATAAATAACTTGAGTCTCTCTCTCTCTCTCTCTCTCTCTCTCTATATATATATATATATATATATATATATATATATATATATATATATGAAAAAAAAATTAAAACTTTATTACCTCAAAGTCGTTCCGTAACATTGAAGGGAGTGAGAACAGAAAACAAAAATGTGTTTGTGTGCTCGTGTGTTTCATCTACAATTAGAAGAATAACAAAGAGGAAGGGGAGCGAGACACGGCCTCCTCGGCGGTAGTGCAGGTTAGCTAGTAAATTCAGAACGGATGGGTTGTCATCGGTAATCGGAGCTCCAAGAAATCGATAGAAGAAAAATCCAACTCCACTACTTTCTTCATTCACATGATGAGCTTCGGTTTTGGGATTCTCGATTTTAGGCCATATGTGGACCTTAGGAGTTTAGGTCTTTGTTGGACCATCAACTTTCTAGTTTGGACTCTTTTGGTTGAAGTCCCAGAAAGGGATTTGGGACCAATTTGTAAAATTGGGCCATATTTGGTCCTTGGGAGATCATTTTGGAGTTTGGGCCTTTGGACAGTTGGATTGGTACTTGGCCTTGGGCCAAGTTAGGAAAGGGTAAAAAGGTATTTTACCCTAGTTTGGACTCTTAGTATGAGTCGGAATCCAATTATTAATTGGATGTTATTTTATATTGATAGCACGGGGATTTTAGCGGGCCAGCAGTCAGAGGTTTATCTATGAGATTCAGCAGTCTAAGGTGAGTCTTCCTCACTGTGTTTAATAGGTCGAAGGTACCAATGCCGACCATGGTTTATGATGTTAGGGTGACTCTTGCATGTGTATGTATGCTTAGTGGGTGGGGCCCAATAGGTAATCTGTATGTCATTACTTGTTATACTTGTATGTTTTTATGTTGGGCGGGGTCCATTGTGAGAGTTAGGGCGAGGCCCCTTATACTCAGTAGGAGGGTCTCGTTCCGCAAGTTAGGGCGAGGACCGTTCCACTTAGTGGGCGGAACCCATTATACGAGTTAGGGTAGGGCCCGTTACACTTATCGGGCGAGGCCCATTATATGTTTGATATGTATGGTACGTGGTATTTTGGGGAAACTCTCTATGCTTCGTTCTTATGATTTTCAGTTTATATTTCAGGTACTTCCGGTGCAAAATAGAAGAGCTCGGAGTGATTACAGTGCACACATGATATAGTTTCGCATTTTCATGATGACTCCGATAATTTGTGGTGTTTTGCTACATTTGATCCTTTGAGACTTATGATGATGTTTTGGGATATTGTTTTATTATTTGAAAAATTAAATTTTTGGGCCTTATTTTTGGGATGTTACAAGTTGATATCAGAACCTTAGTTTGAGGGATTCAGACATACTCTCGGGTGTGTCTAAACTCAAACTGAGGAATTGGTAAATAATATTTCAAAAAGAAATTTTTTTTAAAGAAAAGGGTTTTCTAATATAAGAAAGGGGTGTGGTGCATGCAATCGACCGATCTTAAGTAAGTTTTCCCAAAATACCCATACATGTTATCTTATATGATTTGATTTCTGAATCTTAAATTGCATGCTAGTTAGGCTAAGGATCTGCTCAATAAATGCCTGATAGAATGCTAGGGAGATGTCTTTGTATGCCTATTGCATGAGCTTGTAGACTTGCATGCTAGTCCTGATCAATCAATGATAGGATGGCCTGATTAGGTTATGTTTGGTTTTGATTACTCGATGCTCGAACGTTGCTTGCTTTGTGCTTTTGTAGGAGTTCTCACTAGTTTCAACTAACTAGTAAGAAAATATGTTAAGTTACATATTACTGAGACTAGATAATTTTAGAAGGTTAGGTTTTAACTCTATTGCGTAGCTCTTGTTTGAGTCTAACCATTGTATTGTGATTCCTCCCAATTGAAGAATTATTTGGTTTCGGTGATATGTAATTGTATCCATGACCTAGTTAGAGGAAGTTAGTAGGAGTTTCTTCTGAGACTAATGGTGGACATTGGTGTGGAGTTTGCCCTAGGAAAACATAGGAAGCGATTTAGTGTTGGGAGCCTTATCTTGATGAAGGTTAATTGTATGAATATAAGTGACTTAGCGAGTTTAGGGCAATCCTTAAGGAAAGTAAGGATAGATGTGGAAGGTAGTATGTGATGGGTTTTATACAAACAATCCTATGTGTGCATGCAACCCTAGTATTGGATCTATGTTTTCACTATTAGTTATACAACTTTATGAACACAAAAAGAAACCTGGCATGCTACTATAATTTTCGAAATTCATATATAAAGCTAGAATACATACCTTTTGTTGTTATATAGCAATAACAACTAGTTCCTTGAATTTCCTTAGCTCTTGAAAGCAAGTACCACAAATGTAGTACCTCTAATGGAGTCACAAACACCATATGCAACTTGGATGAAGAGGAGAAGAAAAGGAGGCACCAAAAACGGCTGGAAACCCTAATGGAAGTGTTGTCCACGTTTTTGGGGCTTAAGGGTCCCTTTTATACATGTAGGCTATTAGGGTTTACAACTAGGAAACCCTAATCTGACTGCTTAGGCCCTAAGCAGCCCATGGACTCCTTAAACATATCCCTTGGACGATTTCTAATGGGCTTCCCATAGAATTCGTTCAACCTATATATTATTAGGTGATCCATAGCCCAATTATAATTATCTTATAATTACAACTTCAGTCCCCTAAGTTTAATTAATCTCTTTTAACCACAAAATTAATTCTTAATTAATTCTTGACCAATATTAATTAAACAATATGATTTCTCCTTTAATATATTATTCTCATAATATATTAATAAATCATATTTAAACCTTTCTCTCCTTAAATCATCCTACATATTGCTATGGTGAAGGCAACCCAAAAGGACCATGCTCATAATCGGGTCAAGTACATACCAAAACAGTTATGGACTTAGACACTAATCCAACAGTCTCCCACTTGGATAAGTCTAATAACTATTTTCCGTATGACTTCAGAACCTGATCAGCAATCGTAGCTTTCAAAAGCCGCTGTCAACTCTGATCTTATCAGATAGCGTGTCCTCTAGATAAGGGATTATATATTCCTCCATTCTCAAGATATCGTATAGACAAAAGACATGAATTTCAATCATTCTCTCTATACTATTTCCCGACTTCCGATTCATGACGACTGATAACAGACTACAATTGAACACATCAACTTAGTCCCGGCTTGGCCAAGCGCTTAGGTGTCATCACTAAATCATCGAGAGGCCCACATATATCGCTTTTATCCCACTTTGGGTAAAAGGAATGGATAAACTTCGACTCAAATGCTCGCTTGCATTTACTGATCGAATCACACACAACAATAAGTTTTATAACACCAAGTTACTGGTGCGTTTACTTATTATCAATGTGTAACTGACCAACAAATAACAACTCACACGTCTCGGTTTCAAGAATATACAATATTATCGTCTCACTAATCACTCGTGATAAAACCGTGAAGTGATCCAAGTGAGCGTGGGTTTAATCCAATACTTTAATCTTATCAAAGCACTCACGAACTCTGCAGCAAACTTGTGCCATGTCTAAACACTTCAGACAATCTACAGACAGATTCATGACAGTCTTTATTCATACCTACTCCCAACGTATGACCAACTGTGGATGTTTGAATAACCTAGTTATTCTGGAAGTCAAAACATGCAAATTGAAACATAACAACAATACTTAATCCTATATGGCCCCAAACTTGTGAGAGTAAATAAAACCCTTCTATTTATCCACCATATTGATTACTCATTATTTATCATTTAATGTTTCGGATAATCAACTCATTACTTGAATTATACCAACAATTGTCCCATGCTCTAAACATGCACACTTTGTTTCCTATGGTCCATGCTTTGTGAAATAGATCACCTGAAAACTTTTCCAATGATGCTCATTTCACAATTCCTTAATCCTAATTATTAGTGTAAGAACACAAGGTTCTTGCCACTACTAGAATATGCTAGATTCTAACATTTTATGCAACGATCCCTTTGCAAAATCATAGCACAAAAGTCACCAAGACGTAGCTAATGAAATTACAAAGTACTTTCTTAGAAATTGTTACAAGACAATTCCATAGATGTGAAGTCTCACATTCAAAGTACATTCCTTTGAACATCCTTCTTGCATAAAAGTTTCTAATCTAGGCATAGACTCTCAATATCCAACTCCCAATATGGAAACATTTCCACATTTGCCAT